TATATGTATATGCATGGATATGTCTGTCTCTTTATATATATATAATATATATATATATATCGCGTGTTGTTTCTGTCTGTCTGTCCCTGTGTGTCGTGGGAGCAGTTCTTTGTTCGTTTGTTTTGATTATTTGTTTACTTTCCTTTGGTAATATATTTTATTTACTTTAATTTATTATATTTTCTTTTTAGTTTTTATTATTTTTCTTCTTGCAGGAGTTGGCCCAGCTGCTGGTAGACGCATTTAATTTGGAGTGTACAGACAACTCGTATTTAAGCAAATATCTATCGAGACGAGTGCAGGCAGAGCAGCAGCAAGAAGAAAAGAAGCAGCAGCAAAAGCAGCAACGCCAGCAAGAACAACAAGAGGAAGAGCATCAGCAGCAGCAACTGGAAGAGCAGCAGCAGCAGCAGCAGATGGCCGAAGACGGCGCTCCTACTGCTTCCAGCACCCCCAGTAACAGCTAAAATGCATGTAGCAGCAGCAGATGCAGCAGCAGTAGCAGCTGCAGCTGCAGCTGCTGCTGCAACTGCAGCATTAATCCTTTCTCATTGGCAACAGTAGTAAGAAGCATATTGCCTGCTGCTGCAAGCGAGCAGCAGCAGCATCAGAAGCAGCAGCTGCAGCAGCAGCTGCTGCAGCACCATCGCCAGCAGCATTAGTAGTTAGTCTTATATGTCGTTCGTGCGTATTTATTTGTTTCTATTTTTGTACACATCGCTTCTTGTTGCTGCGCATTCATTCTTTGCTGCAGCAGCAGCAACTGCAGCAGCAACTGCAGCAGCAACTGCAGCTGCAACTGCAACTGCAGCAGCAACGCCATCTGCTGCAGCAGCATCTGCTCTAGCCGAATCCCTGCTGCGCAAGGCACTGCCTTTGCTTCCATTTATCCGCAGCAGCAGCACAACCGGCAGCAGCAGCAGCAGCAGCATCAGAATGTTTGCTGCTTGCAATCGACACAGGTCGCCCCGTAGGACCTTCATTGGATACGGCGGGCGAGGATTTTGTGTAAAGATTTTAGAGCTTGGGGTTTAGAGTTTAGGGTTTAGGGTTAGGGTTTAGGGTTTAGGGTTTAGGGTTTAGGGTTTCTTCTTTTGGCCCTTTTTGGCCCGCCGTTTCTGCGCGGTTGCCTTGCGGTCTTCATAAGCCTGAAGTAGCAGCAGCAGCAACAGCAACAGCAGCCACAGCAGCAGCAGCAACAACAGCAGCAGCAGAAAGAAAGAAGAGTGCAGACAAAGAGGCAGAGGAGATGAAAGGAGATGAAGAAAATAAAAAGACAAGCAAACAAATGAAGATAAACAAACGAATAAAAAACAAACACAAATAAACAAATAAAATAAACAAGCAAACAAATAAATAAATAAAGGACAGAGAAACAGAGAAGATAAGAAGAGGAGGGATAAGAACAAAGAAGGAGAGAAGACAGAGACAGAGAAAAAAAATAAATTTAAATAACAAACAAAGCAGCAACAACTTACAAACAAAGACAGAAAAAAAACAACAACGAAGATAGTGAAGAAGATAAACAGACAAAAAACAAACAAACAAACAGAAAACAGAAAACAAAGAAAAAAGAAGATAAGAACGAAGAAGAAAAGCAAATAAAACAAACAGAGAGTAAATGTCTCGCACCTGCTGCAGTGCAGCAACTGTCTCCTTTTGTTTTGCTGTCTCCTCTGCTGCCCTACGCCTCCACTCTTCGAGTGCCGCCTATATAAAAATAAATAACTAAAAATGAATAAACAATAAAAATAAATAACTACGAAGGAATAGACAAAGAACAAGTTAGTTAGCTAGCTAGCTAGCTAGCTAACTAACTAGCAATACAAAGCGAACAAGCTAGCTAGCTATCTGGCTAGTTGTATAACAAGTTAGCTAACGAACTAGCTAGCTAGCTATTTAGCTAGCTAATTACAATAAAAAGCTAGTTAGCTAGCTAGCTAGCAAGCTAGCTAGTCACCAAGCTCCATAATTCTATTAGCTAACAAGCTAGCTAGCTAGCTAGATAATATGCTGGCTAGCTAGCTAGCTAGCTAATAAGATACTAGAGTTGCTGACAGCTTCGCGCGCTAGCGAACGGCTTTCGCTTCCTTCAACCGCCAACCTGCGCATACACCCCAACGCATATCACACCTCTGCTGGTGCACTGCTGCAGCACTGCTGCTGCAGTGCATTCAGCAACAGCAGCAGCAGCAGAAGCAGAAGAAGCAAAGGAAACAGGAGGTGCAACAGCAGCAGCAGCAGCAACAGCACCAGCAGCAGCAGAACACCAACAGCAACAGCAGCAGCAACAGCAGCAGCAACAGCAGCAACAGCAGCAACAGCAGCAGCAACAGCAGCAACAGCAGCAACAGCAGCAGCAACAGCAGCAGCAGCAGCAGTGACTAGCAGAAACAGTTGGAGAAATAAATCTTACCTAAATGCTTCTAGCTGCATGTGATAAGATTTGCTGCTTTTTTCTTCGTTTTGCATTAACCGTCTTTCTGCTGCTTCTCTCTCTCCTCGCCACTCAAACGAAGATTTATTTTTACTCACCAACGCCCGCAGACGCACGTGCTGCTCCGGAGCTGCAGCAGCAGCAGCAGCAGCAGCAGCAGCAACAGCAGCAGCAGCAGCAGCAGCAACAGCAGCAGCAGCAGCAGCATTTGAGGCGCACGACCCCGTAAACGTCGCTCAGTGTCAGGGGGAATGTTGCTGCAGCTGCTGTTGTTGCTGTTACTGCTGTTGCTGCTGCTGTTGCTGCTGCTGTTGCTGCTGCTGCTTCTGCTGCTGTGGATCTCAGCCGAAGCCTATCCTTCTGAGAAACTGAAGGCCGGTGCTTCGCTCTCTTCACCTGCTGTGTGGTTACTTAGTGGTTGGCTAGCTAGCTGGCTAGCTAGCTAGCTAGCAATCTATCTACTGACTGGATAGCTAGCTAGCTAGCTAGCTGCTTGTGAAGAGGGCTCACTGATGTGGTTGTCGCTGATGTCGAGACACTGCAGAGATGTGTTCTTGCGAAGACTCTCGAGCAGCAAATCCCCGCCAGCCTGAATATATTGCTAAACCCTAAACCCTAAACCCTAAACCCTAAATCCTAAGCAATAAACAATAAGCCGTAAACCCTAAACCCTAAACCATAAGCAATAAACTATACACTCTACACCCTCTAAACCCGAATCTCTAATCCTTAAACCCTAAACCCCCCTAAACCCCTAAACCCTAAACCCTAAACCCCCCTAAACCCCTAAACCCTAAACCCTAAACCCTAGGTCGCACCTGGTCGATTCTCATTGCGTTGAGTGCGAGGGTTTTGATGGTTTTATTATTTCGCAGCGCCCTGCAAATCTCAGCGAAGCCGCGGGGACCCCCGAAGTAACAGCCGCTTAAATTCAAACACTCCAGGGTTGACGTCGCCTGCAGCAGCAGCAGCAGCAGCAGCAGCAGCAGCAGCAGCAGCAGCGGAAGCAGAAGCAGAATCGGAACAGAAGCAGATTCAGCAGCAGCAGCCTTAGCAACAACTTATTTTATTGTATTGTTGCTGTTACTGCTGCTGCTGCTGCTGCTGCTGCATTTGCTACCTCAGGGAGCAGCAGCAACGACAACAGAAAGCAGCTACAGCAAAAAGCAACCGCAGCAGCAGCAGCAGCAAACAGCACCACCAGCATCATCATCATCAGCAGCAGCAGCATCAGCAGCAACACCAGCATCAGCATACCATCAGCAAGAGCAGCAGCAGCAGCAGCAGCAGGAAGACTTACTTCTATCCACTTAGCTAGTGCAGCAGCAGAAGCCCTGCCCAAGTAATTTGCTTCTACCGAGACGGCTCGTAGACTCTGCATGCGCGACAAACTTTGAAATATTGCGGGGCCTTCGTCGTCAGTCAAACCAACGCGGCTCAAGTCTAAGACACCCCAAACCCTAAACCCTAAACCCTAAACCCTAAACCCTAAACAATATAAAATAAACAGTAGACAAGAAACAATAAACAATAAAACCCAGGCCATACATGATCAGCAATAAGCAATAAATAGGAAGCAATAAACAATAAGCCGCAAACGACAAACCCTAAACCCTAAACCCTAAACCCTAAACCCTAAGATAGCATCTGGAGAGTCTTATAAGCATAATCTGCACAGTAGAAAAGGGAGACAGCACGCATGAGGAAGCTTCAACCCTAAACCTAAACTGAAGCGAGCAGCAGCAGCAGCTGCTGCAGCAGCAACAAAAACAAAAACAGCAACAGCAGCAACAGCAGCAGCAGCAACACTAGCAGCAGCAGCAGCAGCAGCATCATCTTACCTAATTCTTCTACATCAGGGTTATCTGCAAGCCCTTCTCTCAGCAGCAATCGTATTTGTAGAGGGTTGAGGCCAAGCGACCCCAAGGAAAGAAATCGAGGTACAAAGGGCCCTCCTTCGCTGCTGCTGCTGCTGCTGCTGCTGCTGCCGCTGCTGCTGCTGCTGCTGCTGGTTCGGACTCTGGGGGAACGGCCGAGGCGAAGGAGAGAAGAGAAGTTTGGGTCCTGCAGTGAACGTCCTTCTTCTTCTTTTGTTAGCTGCTGCTGCTGCTGCTGCAGCAGCCGGCGCTGCAGCTGGCTGCGCCTCACATACTCGTCATGCTGCTGCAGCGCTAAAGATTGAAGCCTCTGATCTTGCAGCCTCTCTCCTTCTTCTTGCTGCTGCTGCAGCTCCTGGGAAAGAAAACCAGCAGCAGCAGCAGCAGCAGGAGAGGCGTGTAATAGCAGCAGCAACACCAGCAGCAGCACCAGCACCAGCAGCGGCTCTTCTCTTCTTTTTTTGCGCTAGCAGCAGATACAGCAGCAGCAGCAGCTCTTTTATCAACGTGTTAGTAAGAGCAGCAGCAGCGGCAGAGGCGGCGGTAGTTCTTATACTTGAGGGTGCAGCAGCAGCAGCAACAACAGCAACAGCTATTCTGTCCAAGGGCTAGCAGCAGATGCAGCAACAGCTCTTCTCTTCTATCAACGTGCAGGTGCAGCAGAAAAAGTTGGTAGCTGCAGCAGCAGCATCTCTTCTGAATACGTGTTGCTTGCTGCAGCAGCAGCAGTAGTTTTATTCTGCATTTAAGTGCTGCAGCCTGCAGCAGCAGCAGCAGTTTTCTTCTGTGTAAGTGTTGTTCGCTGCTGCTGCTGCTGCAGCATCTCTCTTCTGTGTTTGTGCTGCTAGGTACTGCAGCAGCAGCAGCAGCAACTGCCTTCTGTGTATGTGTTGCTAGCAGCAGCAGCAGCACTGACCCTTCCCTTTTGTCTATGTGTTGTTATCTGCAGCAGCAGCAGCAGCAGCATCTGTCTCGTATGTAAGTGTTGTTAGCCGCAGCAGCAGCAGCAACAGCCGCATCTGTTTTCTACGTAAGTATTCCTATCTGTAGCAGCAGAACCAGTAGCAGTAACAGCGGCAATAGCAGCAGCAATAGCAGCAGCAATAGCAGCAGCAGCAGCAGCAGCAGCAGCAGCACCAGTTCTCTTCTTCGTTGCAGCAGGGCCTTGAGGGCCTCTGTCTGGGGCAGCAGCTCTGCAACAGGAGTAATGAAGAGAGGGGGTGAGGGATTGCTGTCTAGTGCTTGCATCGCAGAGAGTTAAACAATATCTAACGGATAATATTGAGCTTTATACACATATATAGCTAGCTAGCTAGCTAACTAGCTAGCTAGCTAACTAGCTAGCTAGCTAGCTAGTGTACCTAGCTAGCTAGTGTAGCAGGCTGTTCCAGCTAGCTAGCTAGATGTCTAGCTGTTGTGGCTAGCTATCCAGCTAGCTAGCTGGCTAGCTGTTGTGGCTAAGCTAGCTGATGTAGCTAGCTAGCTATCTACAACAGCTAGCTGTTATGGTGTGTCTATAGCACCCTCCTGTCTCTGTTTGATATTAATATAGCGAGAAGTATTAATTAAATATTTAATAGACGTTAAATTGCAAATTAAAGAAGAAGAAAAAAGAAATAAATGATATAATTAATTATTTTACATGCAAATAAATTAAGTTTGTGTCCGTGCTGCAGCTGTCTACAGCTTAGTTTGTTTCTTTGTGAAGAAAATAATTAAATAAATTAATTAATTTAAAATTAATTCATTTTAATTTAGTTAAATAATCTAAATACAAAAAATATAAACTAAAAGGCTGCAGCCAACTGCAGCAGCAGCAGCAGCAGCAGCTGCTGCTGCTGCTCTTGCTGCTGCTGTTGCTGCTGCTGCTGCTGCTGCTGCTGCTGGCGCGCGTCCTTCGCGTTGTTGGTCTCTGAATTATTTTCTGTTTTTCTTTTAAAAATAAAAATATTAAATTATATTATTTAATAAATATTTAAATAACATTTTAATTAAACTTTTTCGGTGCCACCACAATAAACAATAAATTATAATTAAGGCTGCGTAGACAGCGCGTACAATAAAAAACAAAATAATAAAATATAAAATATAAAAATTAAATCATAAAAACATAAATAAATAAAAATTGCAGTCAGTATAAATATAAATAGTCATGCAACTATATATATATTTTAAGAAGATATATATATATATATATATGTATATATATAAATTATATATATATGCTAATATATGTTCATATACAGATAAATAAATATAAACAGTGATAATAACAATAATAATAAATAATTAATAATAATAATCATGCAAATAATAATAATAAATAATTAATATAAATAATAATAATTATTAATATTTATTATAAATAATTATTATAAACAATTATAAATATTATAATTTATAATAATATTTATTATTATTATTTATAACACCAACTGCAGCACTTTCTCGCCCATGTGTACTACCGCCAACTGCTGCTCTTGCTGCTGCTACTGTTGCGGCTGCTGTTGCTGCTGCTGCTGTTGCTGCTACTGTTGCTGCTGCTGTTGCTGCTGCTGCTGTTGCTGCTGCTGTTGCTGCTGCTGTTGCTGCTGTCGTAGGGATTTTTAGGCCTTCTGTCGCTCTATCGAGAGCGCATTGTCTGTATATTTATTTATTTTTATATATTTGTTTATTTATTTATTTAATTTATTTATTTAATTCTGCCTGCAGCAGCAACTTGAGCAGACGTCGCTGCTTCGCTATTTGTCTCGTCCTCTGTCTCCTTTCTGCTGCTGTCCCCCCCCAAGCACCCAACAGCAACAGCAGCAGCACAGCAGCAGCAGCACAGCAGCAGCAGCACAGCAGCAGCAGCAGAGAAGCAGCAGCACAATAGCAGCAGCACCACACCAGCTGCACAGCAGCAATAGCAAAGCAGAAGCAGCACAGCAGCAACAGCACAGCAGCACCATCAGCAGCACAGCAGCAGCAGCACAGCAGCACTATCAGCAGCAAAAGCAGCACAGCAGCAGCAGCACAGCAGCAGCGGCACAGCAGCACCATCAGCAGCAGCAGTTGCTGCATCTCTATTTCTTTTTTCTGTCTCTTTCTGCTCTCCCCCTGTCTCTTCTCTGTCCCTTTCTTTCTTTTAAATAATTCTGAACTACGTTTTATACAAGGCTTTCAAGCAGCAACAACCATAACAATAATGCTTAAGCACAAACAACCCATCCGTTTGTTCGGTACGAAGCTCTGCTGCTGCTGCTGCTGCTGCTGCTGCTGCTTTTGCTGCAGCAGCAGCAGCAAATGGCTAGAAATGCCACCTCAAGGTGCAGCAGCAACACAACAAAAGGGAGACAGTAGCAGCGACCTTCTCCCTGTCTTTCTATCATTCCTTAACCTGAAATCCTAAGCAGGTGCTGCACGCTGCTGCTGCTGCTTTTGCTGCTGCTGCTGCTGCTGCAGCAGCAGCAGCAGCCAATGCCAAGAAGCCACCTCAAATATTTGTTTAAATAAACGCCTCATCCTAAGCGCTACTACTTGCCCTCTATACTCCTGCTGCACATTGCTTCATTGCTGCTGCGGAGTTCTGACTCCAGCAGCAGCAGCAGCAGCAGCAGCAGCAGCAGCAGCAGCAGGCCGATCTTTCCCTAAAGAGTCAAAAGGAAAGGCCTTCGCTTCATTGGCGTCTCCTTTAAAAACGCTTCAACCTCAGCAGCAGCAGCAGCAGCAGCAGGAAGAGCTTAAGGGTTTAAAACCATTAAGTTCTTCCTGCTGCTGCTCCTGCTGCTGTCACAGCTGTTGCTGCTGGTGCTGCTGCTCTTGCAGCAGCTGCCCCTGTTGCTGCTGTTGCTGCTGGTGCTGCTGCTCTTGCAGCAGCTGCCGCTGTTGCTGCTGCTGCTGCTGTTGCTAGTACTGCTGCTGCGTTTGCCGCTGCTGTTGCTGCAGTTGCTGCTGCTGTTGCTGCAGTTCCCGCTGCTATTGTTGCTGCTATTGCTGCTGCTTCTGCTTCTGCTGCTGCGGTTGCATCTGCTGGAGCAAGTATTGCTGCTGCAGCAACTGTCTTTGCTGCAGCAGCAGCAGCAGCAGCAGCAGCAGCAGTTGGTGCTTATGGCTGGGATGCTTCCTGTCTGGCTTGCACAAGGAGGGGTTTAATTGCTTGAAGTCCCTCCATAGCATTTGCTGCTGCATCAGCATATACCTTTGCTCTTTCTTGCTGCACTGCAGCATCAGCAGCAGCAGCAGCAAGCTCTTTAAGCGTAGTCGTCAGTGTCTGCATTAGCTGCTTCTGCCTAGCCTTCACCCGCTCATAAGAATCTGTTAGCTTTGAAGCTAGCAGCTGGTCTTCGGGTACTTCGCTGCTGCCAAGAGCAGCTAGCTTCAGCAGCAGTATTGTTTCATCCTGTGCAGAAGCACCTATACTCGGCGCCAGCATCTGCAGTGTCTGCGCAACTGCAGCAGCAAGCTGCTCTGCGCTGCTGCTGCTGATTGGTTGATGAAGCACTTCACTCATAGAGACCAATTTATCTGTGCTGAAGAACTTCATAAATCTACCGTATGCTTCTGCTGCTGCTGAAGGCCTGACAGTAACAGCAGCAGCAGCAGTAGAAGCTGCAGCAGCAGCAGCAGCAGCCTGACCTCCAGCTAGATCAACAGGACCCCCTGAGCAGCGTGAAGCACCTGCAGCAGCACATACCTCCGCTTGCAGTGCTACAGCTTCTCTTGTTGCTCTTACATATTTACTAATACCCAGCTGTACCGACTGACGATGAGCTGATAAAGCTGTTTTAATGCCTGCTCCCACTGAAGAGAGCTGCTGCAGCTGCTCTTGATATAATACTGCTTGTCGTTGCAGCTGCTGCTGCTTCAACAGCAGCAAACCGTACTTCAGCGTCCGTTGCCCCTTCAACAAGCTGCTGCTTAGTGCTGCAGCAGCTTCTTCTCCTTCTTCTACTGCTGCTGCTTCTAGAGCATTCATAGCAGCCTGTACAGACTGCAGCAAACGCTTGATCTCCCCTGCTGCTTCTTTGTTCTGGCTTAGTTGTAATGCTGGTGCATCTCCTGTTCCCGCTGCTGTTGTTGTTGTTGTTGCTGCTGCTGCTGTATCTGCTGCTGCTGCTTCAGCTGCTGCTGCTGTTGCTGCTGCCTCTTGTTCATCTTGCGTAGGTGCTCTCTCTCGTGCTGCTCCCTTCCCGGCCGCTTCTTTGTTTGCTGCTTCTATTGCTTCTGCTGCTTCTTGAGGTGGAAGCTGCGCAGACAGTGCAGCTCTCACCCGATTAAGCTCACCTATAACAAAACGCCTAGACTCTGCTGCAGCACGTAGCGTCCTAAGACGTATATCTATAGGGTCGCTTAACAAACCCCACTCTACTCCAAATGCTCCTCGCAGCAGCTGCTGCAGCAGCAGATCTTGCTGCAGCTGCTCCTCATCGTCCTCGTATTCCCGCTGCTGCTGCTGCTCCTGCTGCTGCTCCTGCTGCTGTTCTTGTTGGTCGTCCTGATGCTGATGATTATGATAAACAGCGTTTCGGAGCTCATCTAATGCTGCAATAGATTGCTGATGCCCTGCTAGAAGAGCAGCAAGTGTAGCAGCTTCTGTTTGAATAGCTGCAGCAGTTTCCTGAAGGCTTTTGCTCTTATCTGTGATAGCTGCACCTTCACGTTTAGCTGCAGCAATCTCTCTTCTGGTAGCAGCAATCTTAGCGTTTTTAGCAGCAGCAATAGGGCTTGATAAGGCCGAAGCAAGGAGAACAAGCAGCACAACAGCATATATTAGTTTAGGAGGTAGAGCTCTCTTAATCTCTTGTAAACCTGATAAAGGTGCTACTAATGAATTCTCTGTCGGGGTGTACGGATCGTCATCATAATCCCACACATCAAACAGCTCTTCCCAGTCTATTGTTTGAGGCCCGGGGGGGGCCCCTACTAAGATGCCTCTAGCAGGAGGCGGAGGTAGTTTAGTTTGCTGCTGCTGTTGTTTGCTGCTGCTGCTGCCTCCTGCTGAGGATGATCCTCCTGCACCTCCATTATTACTTCCTTCTCCTCCTTCTCCTGATCCTGCTGCTGCTGCTGCTGCTGCTGCTGCTGATTCAGGATCAGCAGATGAATCTACAGCAAAGCTAAATACTTCTTGCAATGAGCCTCCTTCTTCATCTGCCCATCTGACAACCCACTCTGTCTCGCTTTCTTCATCTTCATTATCATATTCTTCTTCTTCTTCTTCTTCTTCTTCATTATCATATGCTTCGTCTGCTGCTGCTGCTGCTGCTGCTGGTGGTTGTCCTGCTGCTGTAGGGCTGCTGCTGCGAGAAGGGCCCCCTGATGCAGCAGATGCAGCAGCAGCAGCACCACCACCACCACCAGGCAGCAAACTACTGCCACCCAGCCTTACAACGCTACTAGTATCTACTTCAACAACAGCAGCAGATGTTGCTGCTGCTGTTGCGGGCTCCTCAGCAACTGCTGCAGCAGACAGGCGCCCGTCTGCTGCTGCTGCAGCCCCGCCTCCTCCAACAACAACCACAGCGTTTGCTGCTGCTATAGAATCTACGGAAAGAAAGAAAAACAAAGAAAGTATGTGACAAGGCGAAGATAATACGGGCCTCATTATGAGGAGCAGAGGCAGCAAACTCTATGCATAGTACATCTTCTATAGGAGCCGCAGCAGCAGCAGCAGCAGCAGCAGCAGCGGCAGCAGCAGCAGCAGCAGCTTAAAAGGCTGCAAGAAGATCCACGCAGCCTTTAAGGGAATAATAAACAAGGGAGAGAGAAGCAGCAACGCCAGCAGCAGCAGCAGCAGCAGCAGCAGCGGCAGCAGCGCTGCTTGTAGATTGCTGCTCTCTACAAGTATGAACAGGAAAAACCCAAGTAAATAAACAAACAAAACAAAAGAAGAAACAAACCGAAGTGCAGGACTGCAGCAAGAGAAAGATTACACAGCAACGCAGGCGAGCAGCAGCCTCTAGCAGCAGCAGCAGCAGCAGCAGCAGCTGGAGCGGGAGGCGGCTGCTGCTGCTGCTGCTGTAGCAAGGGGTTTTGGTGATTGTTAAACCATTTTTTGTGTTTAAAATCATCAAGAAAGTATTAAAAAACAATTAAATAGTATTTTAAATTAATTTATCTCTTTATTTTTTTCATCGTTAGACAGAAAAACACTTGCTGCTGCAGCAAACCCACAGCCCTCAACAAGCAGCAGCTTCTGTTGCTGCTGTCATTGATGTAGTCTCCGTTTGTTTTATATCTTTTCTTCTTTATTTTCTTCTTTTTTATTTGTTCTTCTCTTCTTTTTTGTATTATTAACAATATAAACTGCTCATGTGCTTCCTGGGGGAGCAGCGCAGCAGCTCGCAGCAGCTGGCGTAGACGGAGAGCTGTCGGTTTTCGTGAAGATTCTGCAGCAGCAGCTGCAGTTGCTGCTGCTGCAGTTGCTGCTGCTTCAAGGAGACCCGAGCTGAGGTGTTGCTGCTGCTGCTGCTGCACGTGGAGTCGGTGCTGCTTCGGGAGCTGCTGCAGCTGCTTCCGGAGCGGCTATTGGAGAGGCGCTTCTGCTGCTGCTGCGGCTGCCCCTGCTGCTGCAGTTGCTGCTGTTGCTGCTGTTGCTGCTGGGGTATTGTGCTGCTCTTGCCTATGGGGTTTCCTGTGCTGCATACGAAGGCATCTCGCCGTACAGGTGTGAGTAAATCTCTGCGGGGCTGTTTGAGGAGCGGTTTGCTGCTATTGGTGCTGCTGCTGCTGCTGCAGGTTGCAGCAGCAGCAGGAGCAGCAGCAGATGGGAGTGGTGGAGGAACGCAAGTAGTAGTTTCTGCATATGATAGCGAACAAGATGAAGAAGAGATAAGCAACACAGCAGCAGCAGCAGGAGCAGCAGGAGGAGCAGGAGCAGGAGATGCTGCAGCAGAGGATAGCAGCAACCCTTCATCACCTGCTGCTGCTGTTGCTGCTCGTGCTGCTGGAAATACCGGCTTTGTTTACTTTGAAGACAGCACAGATGAAGATGCAAGCGATGTAGATGATGAATATGATAGCAGCGGATCTATAGAAGGATCTATTGAAGAAGTTGGTTGGATGCACTCCTTTAACCCTGCACTTCTACGGCCTCAGGTGTCTATGCAGGTCGTCTTATGGTTAGTGTTATCTGCTGCTATTTATCTTATTATGAGGGGTGCTTCTCGTGAGGATGAGAAGCAAAAGAGCTTAGATATACATAAAACTTTGCTCAATAATACAAAACGAAAGCTTGAGGCCGATAAAGCAGCAGCAGCAGCACTAGAGAGAGATATTGCTGCAGCTGTTGATAACAAAAAACAGCTACAGAAACGGCTGTCTGCAGCAGAAGAACGTCTACAAGTCCTCGTACAAGATCTACAAACTGCAGCAGGAGCATTAGATCTTGAGGGTGGCTGCAGGCCTAGAAAGATGCGCGCGCTGCAGCAGCAGCAGCAGCAGCAGCAGCAAACTAAATCAGCAGCAACAACCATCATAGGGGTACCTACACATGATAATACCTCTAAGGAGATCAGCAAAAACTTGCAGCTGCTGCTGCTGCACCAGGGAGACCCTGAATATAATGAAGATGTGGCGAAGCGATCCTTAGAAAGTCTGCTGCAGCAGAAGCAGCAGATGCAGCAGCAGATGCAGCAGCAGCAAAAACACCTACCTGCGCAGCAGCAGCTGCTGCCGCACAGCAAGTTTTTACAGGCATTGTCTTGGTTTGAACAAACAGCAGCAGACTGGGGTATATACCCTGATGATGCTGCTGCTGCTGGAGGAGGTGCTGCTGCTGCTGCTGCAGATGAGCGTACAAGAGAAAGAGCTGTTGCTCTGCTAGCTGCTACAGGTCTGATGCTGGGGCGATGGCTGCAGCTAGAGGGAGAAGTAAGTGCTGCAGGTGAAGTGCTGCAGCAGCTGCAGCAGCAGAGACGGCAGCAAGCAGCAGCAGTAAGCACTCGTGCAGATAAGCTGCTGCAGGAGTTGAAGACAACTAGCCGAGCAACAATTGGCTGGCAGCAGCAGCTACGCAGCTTCTTATCTGAAGACACAGAAGAAGAGAGAAGGCTTACTGCTGTTGCAGATAGTATAGCAGCAACGCTGCAGCACCTCGTAAATCTATTTGCTCATCGAGCATGTCTTACCCCTTTACAGGAGCCTATGGGTGCTGCTTCTTCTGCTGTTGCTGCTGCTGCTGCTGCTGCTGCTGCTGGAGAAGCAGCAGATGGTCCTAGCGAAGCAGCAGAGAAAGTCTTGCTTGGGTTGCAGCGTGTCTGTGTCGCTATTGTTCAAGAGACAGCTTCATTTAATGCGGCAGCAGATGTTATTAAAGATGCTGATAAGAAGCAAGAACGTCTGCATGCAGCAAATGAACGGCTTGTAGCCCGGCTTATTGAAGTAACGGCTTTCTTAGGGAGGTTTAAGCAGGAGCACGTTGTTGCAGAGGTGCAGCAGCAGATGAGTAGTATTGCTGCTGCTGGGAGCATTGAAAGACACCGTATTCTTTCTAGCATGCGTGATCAGACAAGCACTTGGCTAAAGAATGTTCAGAGAACATTCAGCAGCAGCAACGGCAGCAGCACCAGCAGCAGCACCGGTCTTGCTTCTTCCTCCGCCTCCAGCTGGATTGGCGGTGCTTCTTGATGCTGTTCTTGCTGCAGCAGCAACAAAAACAGCAGCCGCAGCAAAAGCAGCAGCAGCAGCAGCAGCAGCGGCGGCGGCGGCGGCGCTGGGGCGTTTGCTCTATATATGAGCAAGACAAAAGAAATACAACAAATTATTCTTATTAACACTGTTTGTTTGCTTCTTGCTGCTGCAGCAGAAGGGCTCTTCTTTTCTGCTGGGGTATTAATAAACAGTAGCTGTGAGTCCTTGCTGCTGCAGGTGCTGCTGCTGCAGCGGCTGCTGCTGCAGTCCTTCTGCTGGTGCTGCTGCTCTGCGGTAGCAGCGCTCCGGCTGCAGTAGTGCTGCATCTGCTTGAACAGCAGCAGCAGCGTCAACAACAGCAGCAGCATCATCAACAGCAGCAACAGCAATACCTGCTGTTCAGGAAGCAGATGGTGCTGATGAAGCAGCACGTGGTGCTGCTGCAGCCGCGCCGCGTTGCTGTTGCTGCAGCAGGTGTTGATGCTGCTGCTGTTACAACAGGTCTTTGTGCTGCATAAGTGCTGCTGCTGCTGCAGCAACAGCAGCAGCAGCAGCAGCAGCAGCACACCTATAGTATATATTGTTATTGACCCTGTCTTATCCGCTAGCCTTTGTGCTGTCTTTACTAAACTTGTCTTCATTTTATTCACGTGTTGCTTCTACTTAGATGTTTATTTATTATATATATATTATATATATATTATATAGTATATATATATTATATGATATATATAGATATAGATATAGATATAGATATAGATATAGATATAGATATAGATATATAGATATAGATATAGATATAGATATAGATATATACATACAGATATATAGATATATAGATATAGATATATATATATATATAGAGCTATAGATATAGAGGTATAGATATAGATGTAGATGTTTATTTATATTCATTCAGTATAGATGCAGATTTACAGTAATACATCTTTATAAATATTGCGTATATACATACATGTATGCATTATATACATATATATATATATATATTATATATATGCATATATATATGTTATATACATATATATATATATATTTAAATGCCTATTTATGTTTATTTAGTGTACATGAATGTTAATAATTATACATATATGCAGTATATATATACATATATTTGTAATTATGTATATATATATATATATGTATATATATATATATATAT